CCTCCCAGCATGTCCAAAATACTGAAATGCGCTGGGAACGAAGACATCATCACTCTGCGCGCAGAGGACAACGCGGACACGTTGGCTCTGGTGTTTGAAGCACCCAGTGAGTGTTGGATTTGGGAATTCATTTGCTACCGTGATATTTTTGAGGTAGTTTTATTAAACCACTTAAATGCAGGGAGGAGGGGAAATGACAATAAATACTGCAGAAACGGGAGAGGACATACCACAGAATGGCAGAATGGTGGGGTTGGAAGGGACCTCTGGAGATCAAAGCAGGGTCACCCAGAGCAGGTCACACAGGAAAGTGTCCAGGTGGGTTTTGAACATCTCCAGAGATGGAGACTCCACACCCTCTCTGGGCAGCCTGTCCCAGGGCTCCGGCACCCTCACAGGAAAGAAGTTTCTCCTCATGTTTAAGTGGAACCTCCCGTGTTCCAGTTTGTGCCCGTTGCCCCTTGTCCTGTCTCTGGCCACCACTGAGAAGAGTCTGGCTGCATCCTCTTGACACCCACCCTTTACATATTTATAAACATTAATAAGGTCCCCTCTCAGTCTGCTCTGCTCCAGGCTGAACAGTCCCAGCTCTCTCAGTCTTTCCTCATGAGAAAGATGCTCCATCCCCTTAATCATCTTCGTAGCCTCCAGAAGTTCCCTGTCTCTCTTGAACTGAGGAGCTCAGAACTGGACACAACACTCCAGATGTGGCCTCCTCAGCCTAAAGTAGAGGGGGAGGAGAACCTCCTTCGACCTGCTGGTCACACTCTTCTCAGTGCACTCAAGGAGACCATTTAAACAGTCTGGAGATGCAGCTTAGTCAACTTGACCAGTGCTTTTAGGCTGTGTACAGATGCTCTTGGTGGGTTGCTGTCCTCTTACAGCCTACAAAAGGCCATGTGGGCCACTTCCAGATGTCTACCTCTAACTAACCAAGGTTCTTACTGTTGTAGTTGAAGTGGTTTTACTTAGCCAGGGGAAAAAGGGACAAAATTTAAATTTGGGATGATAACTTCTCCACAACACTTGGTCAAACTCTGCTTCATTTCTTTAGATCAGGAAAAGGTTTCTGATTATGAGATGAAGCTGATGGATCTCGATGTGGAGCAGCTTGGAATTCCAGTAAGTAGTGGCTCAAATGACTGACTACACTGTGTCTTAGAAGTGAGTGTTTTCCCATGTTCACATCAGAGTTTGAGCTTGTGACATAACTCCCTTTGGAGAAACTAAACAAGCTCGAGTGTTGTGGCCACAAGGCTTCTTGATGGAAGTTTAATTATGACACTTCCTTCACAGGAACAGGAATATAGTTGTGTAGTGAAAATGCCTTCTGCTGAATTTGCACGCATCTGTAGAGATCTCAGCCACATCGGTGACGCAGTTGTCATCTCCTGTGCAAAAGATGGTGTGAAATTTTCAGCTAATGGAGAGCTGGGCAATGGAAACATCAAACTGTCCCAGACCAGTAACGTGGATAAAGAGGAGGAAGCTGTAAGTCAAGTGTTTGTGGTTCCTGTGGGGTCTGGGATGCTGAGGTTGCTACTTGTATAACTAATTCTCTGACCTGTTGGGGGGCTAAAGCTGGGTGACTGGGGGATGGACTTCTGTGGTTTATAGATGAGAGTCAACAAATTGTTGCCAACTTCAGGTTCTTACCGTGGGGTCTGCAGAACAGAGTGGGGCGTAGCACTGACTGCCTTTGCCTGAAGTGTCTGGATTGTTTGAGAGACTTGAGGGCACTTGTTGTATTTACTGAAGTGTGACCTGGCTGATGGTTTTCTAGGTTACAATCGAGATGAATGAGCCAGTCCAGCTGACCTTTGCTCTGAGATACTTGAACTTCTTTACCAAAGCCACTCCCCTGTCACCTACAGTAACACTCAGCATGTCTGCAGATGTTCCTCTTGGTAAGTATAGACGGCAGCTCTCCTTGAAAATACCCTTGTAGAGTGAACGCTGCCACCTTAGAACTGTACAAAGACCTCTTGACTGAGGTTTTCTGAAGAACCTGCTGAATTCTCTTTTTCTTTTCCAGTTGTGGAGTACAAGATCGCCGATATGGGACACTTAAAATACTACCTGGCTCCAAAGATTGAAGACCAACAAGAAGGCTCTTAACTGGAGCAGGACTGAGGGGGAGATCTGGTCAGCTCATTGGAGAAGTCAGCTGATGCTGCGAAGGAAATGGTGTGACTAGCAATTTCAGTGCGTTGGAGCATCGTGCGAGTGCTGTTAGGCATGTTGTGTAGATATCTCTGTAAATATTTTTCAACTTACTATTTTGCTCTACTGGTGTCATTGGAAATAGGAAACTTTGTTTTTTCTAGTCTGTTCTTGTACTTCAATAATCTCTTAGTTGCTGTCTTAAGGTGAAATATCTTACTCCTCTCAGCTTGTGTTAGAGATGGGATGCAATATTTAACTTGTCAAGATGATGTTCCCTGGAGTTCCGCCTGTGGAGCTGTAGTTGACTATCAGGTTGCTGTTCAGTTATGCCATGAGGTTTTTTTTACCTTCATCCATTTATTTTTGAAGCTGATTTTCTAACTGAAACTTGGAAAAAATGGAAATAAAGAATATTGTTTCATGGTTTTTATCCTGTTGAAATGTGGATGGATGAATCAATCTTTGTCAGACTGCTGGTGTACCCTGGCTCCTTTTTCCAGGGAACTGCGACAGGCAAGCTTGTGCTTTTTTTTTTTTGGCTGGAGTTACCAGCTTCTGCTTTGGTTTAGATGTGTTGAAATGGAGGGGGGTGGTTACCATGGGAACAGCTAACCTGTCTGTGATGCTGTCTCCATTCCCCAGAGGTTTGTGAAACAGGTTTCACCTCACATGCCTGAGCTTTGGCAGATGGCAGAGCTGCCTCTAGCAGGGACTGTTCTTTAGCTGTTGCTCCAGCTCCCGGTGAAGTCAGGGTGTAGGCACACGCTGCGCTGTAGCAGTGACTGGACCTTCCTTGGTCCAACGAGCTGTGTGAACTCTTCCTGGTTTTGGTGCTGCTGTTTCTTTGTTACTGATTTTAAGCTGCTCAACAGGTCTGTCCAGGCTGTATTTGTTAAAGGGATTTAATTCAGTCTCTAGTTAACTCCAGGTTTGCTTTGACAGCTCAGAGCTGGGCCATCACCTCAGTGAGCAGCAAAGGCATTGCAAAAATCAGGCTCTGTATAGATCTGCTAAATTTAACATTATATGATGGGAATTCTCAAAGTTCTTGGTGTTTTCCCATTGCCATGAATGTTCCAAATGTCTCATTAATTTAAAATCCTATCAAAAGTCCATAGTGATCCTTCAAACTTGGCTGATTCTTCTTGTCTTGTCTCAGATCCTCTTCAGAAGTTGCAGTTGCTGGTCCCACTGGTCATTCACTGATCTTGAATAATCTTGTCTGCTCACCTTTGTACTTTTAAGAAAAATCTACATAGTGACATCTAACTTGTATAAGTTAATCACTTCTGTAATTATTGGGTTCTAAACTCTGCTAGTCCAGCTGAATCAACAGGAATGGGTTTTTAAACCAACCATGGAGAGGTCTATACAAGGGACAAATGAGAAGCAGCACTGTTGCATGGTTTATAAGAATTAGTTCTATAATTTCATAGCACCTGTTTCTAATTTTTCATCTTATGTATAATACTTCTATTAATATCATTTCTCTTATAAACACTTTCTCAGAGATTCTCAGAGAGTCTTTTCCTCTTACAGTATTAATTGTCCCACACATTGTGTTTCTGTTGACAAGGGTAGTGCACTCATTCATGCCACCAGCAATTCCTCTCTTAATCGAGGATATTGTGATCATATTTACTGTTGATGAAGATAGAAGGTTTACAGCATGCTTCACCCTGAAGGTTTGATCACAGAAAAATATAAGATTTATAAACAGTTCCAGGCAGCTACTGGGTTTTCTTTATGTACTGTATTGCTGCCAGCTAAGCCATAAATCCTTACCCTGTGGCTGGGATCTGAGGGACTCCACTTTGTTGTGAAGAAACTGAAAAGCTTGGTCGGTGGTAAGTAGCACTTGGAGGCTCTGAAGTGCTGTGGATAGTTATTTTTTTAGGAGGTTCTGGACTTCTGCTAGTCAGGGGGAGTGTCTTGAGCAGAAACTGCCTCTTAACTTGGCAATTGGAAGACCCGACTGATTTAGCAGGAGAGTCTCACAAGGTGGCAGTGCGGATTAAGAGATTCTGCTGTGTCAGAATGATACAGCTACAACTGGGATGGAAACTTGTCCCTGCTCAAAGCAGGGGGACAGGATTTTTTAATGCCCTTGATTCTTCATTGCTAGTTGCACTTTATTAGCAGATTTAGACTGTGGTTTTCCTCTGCTGTTGTGCAGGTAGGTGCTTGGTTTGCAGCTCCTATACTGAGTTTTGGCTGGTGGCTCCAGAGCATACCCCACTTATTCTCTTGAACTGCCTTGGCCTGCTGATTAATTCAGTACATTTAAGAAAACATCTTGAAAGCAAGATCTTTACCTGCCCCAAAGTTTTTCAGCGATTGCTGAGTTACTGCCCAGTGCAGTTGTAGTGGATACCTTGGAAACCAGGAGGGGTTTTTCACTCCAAATGTGATGCTTCTCAGGTTGGATCCCTGTTGTACCCACAAGAACAAGTAAATGTGGCTTGAGCAAAGAATTGAGAATTCATGGTGTTGAAATAGGGAAGGATTATGGGGTTTGATGTGTGTAAAGCTGGGCTTGTGACTGAAGCAAATTCTCCTTGGTGCAGCCTCCTGCTGTAGCAGGGATTACCAAACTCTTACTTGTGCTATTCTGCTTATAAACACATTGTAAAAATAAGATAAACAGTTTGATTGCTTATTTTTCACAGCTGTAATGACTGAACTGAGTGACCTCATGTTGTAAGAAACATCCTTTAACATAAATATCTACACACTTGTGTTTTGACTTGTGTACTGTCTGTTTACTGGATAAATCTTTTAAAGAAGCTGCATGTTTATTGCTATACCCAAACCAAATACTCCAACTTAACATGTTAAGGAAAAAAAAAAAGCTTAAAAAACCTAACAAAAAAAAAAAATCTAGGTAGGTTTACTGAATGCTGTGTGCTTCTCCATGTTTGAGAGCAAAAGCTTTTAAAGTTTGTATTTTTATTTCAACTCACCAAGGAGAAAAGAACTAAGAAAGGAGGTGGGAGAATCCTTTTAAACTTAAGGAGATTTGGCTTTTTCAGGCTCGAAATGCCGTGTGTATTTTATTAATTTAGAGGAACCAGGGCAATTCCTGCAGTTTCCATGTTTGGAGCAGCTGGAGGAAGTAGATCCCCAGCTCTGCTTTATCTCCTGTTAATATTGTTCCAGCTGCTGGAAATAATTTTCTGGCTGTTGGTTGTGCCACACACTCGGCACTAAGGGAGGGCTGGGCTGTGTCTGACAGTTTAATCTTCCCTTAGAAAATCGATTTGATTTTAAACTGTGTAAGAGTGATGTGTATGAACATGCAGTTCATAAACCATCTACAAATTTAGCCTTGAGATGACAGATTGGCTCTGATGGGTCTTGTGTGACGTGGGTCTGGGTGCCCAGGACACGGTCCCTGCCATCCTGCCCAAGGACACTGCGATTCCAGCTGCCACTCCAGAGTGCGCGGCTGAAAATAACCCAGCTGAGCTGAGCTGAGCCAGCGAGAGGCCGCGGCCATAACCTGGAAGGAAATTCCTGTCACCAGAAATCAACTTCCTGGGTTGTTCTGGGCCCGAGCAGCGCGGAAGCGAAGCGGGAGCGATGGCTTTGACCAGCAGCGCAAAGCGCAGGTGACTGTCTCTGAGGGGTTTCATGGCTGTTCTGAGGCTGTGTGGGGCTGGGGGTGCAGCTCCAGGTTTGGGGGAGATCCCAGACATGTTGGGAACTTCCCGTTCAGCAGCAGAGACACCGTTTCAGGGCTGGAGGAGGGGAGTGGGGTGTGTTTATCACATGAGGTTGTGAGGTTTGAGCTCCCGAAAGGGCAAGTGATGACGTTCTCCTTCCTTCCTTATTCCTGGGCAGAGAGGGAAGAAAAATATATTGTTTTATTTAGGGGATAAACAGGATTTTAGGTTGAACTGCTGGGTTTGTACTGACTGGCAATGGTCAGCACCTGCGCTCTGCCCTGGCAGCGCAGGTTCTGTCCTGAAAACAACAGTCGCGTCTCATGTTAGAAAACTTGAATTACGGGTGTGATTTGCCGTTTATTTGCCTCTTAAAGCATTTATTTGCCTCGAAGAGCACAGCAGTGAGCTTGTTTCTGATCCTGAATCAGTGTAGAGCACAAGGAGAGTGAAACTTGGTGGACTTGAACATGAGGTCTCAGTATTTTCAGGGGTTTGGGTTTTGGTTTGGTTTTTTTTCGCATTTGTCCTTAGTAGCCTCTTTCTTGTTTAAACAAATGGAAATGGAAAGTAATTCCTGGGAAGCCACTAGGAATAGCCTGGTAAATAATGGTCAGTAAGAAGTCCTGTGGTACTTGAGAGTAAAATGGGGCAGAGTCAGGAAATTTTACAGATTTCAGATGTGCTGATTTCTTTTGGCTTCTTCCCCTCCTGCATATCTGCCCCGTGACCTGAAAAACACGGGTGTGGAAGGAGTCGAGGATGTGAGTGTCACCACCCTGTGGTGGGCAGTATTTCCATTATCGATGGCTCCAGAAATGTGTTCTGTCTGTGCTTGGGTTTTGCTACAAAAAAAAAGAAAAGGTTTAAGTTAAAAGTGCAACTGAGGGGGTTTAAGATTGGAGGAGGGTTTTTTTTATATAAAAGTCAAATTTACTGTAGGAAGAACAAACCTGATGGCAGGGGTATTTGCGAACAAGTAGTGAGGATAGGTGATTGCAAGAGGAGAAATGACTTACGAGCAAGAGGGAGGCAAAGGATTTCAGTTCACGTAGAGACTAAATATTGTGAGGAGATGCGATTACCTGAGATGCCCAATAGTGTTATGGAAAAAGCATCTTTGTCCCTTCCTGTTGGAACAGTCGATACACGCTCGTGTTTTCTTTATTGCATGCTTTCTCAGAAAATAAAGCAGTTGAAATTGGACGGTGTGGGAAACCTGTTTTCTGCCTCGCTTCCAGGAATCACAGCTCTGGGCTGCAGGGCAGGTTCAAGGCCATGGGTGAGCAGACACCCAAGGCACAGGTCCTGCTGGAAGGAGCTGTCAGGCCCAGGTAAATGGCTCTGCAGTGATCAGGGAGGTGTTGGCAGGCTGGATCCAGGCTTCAGCTCATAACAAGTTGGGCTCTGAGGCACAGAAGCGAGCTGGCTCCATCCCTCTCCCCGGGACTGTCATTGCTGGCAGCAAAACCACAGGAGCTGGCTCCCAAGCACGGGGAAATTGCAGGGTACGGCTCCGGAGGAACTAAATAAAGGTCTTCCCTGAGCGCTGCCTCCCTCGCAGCAGGACAGACCAGTGACCTGTGCTTTTTAGCTCCTCATCCATTAACCACTCTATCCCCTTGTCATGCTTCCTCTGAGTCATGACTCAAACTGCCTTGGGAATGACAGCTCCATTTCATTCTAGTTTCCAGTGATGTGTTGGTTTGGGGTTTTTTGGTTTTTTTTTTGGTTGGTTGGTTTTTTTTGGTTTGTTTTTTTCAAAATGGTTCTATTGCAAAATATCCGGCTGGTTGAAAAGCTGCTTTGTTCAGTTCTGGTTTGGGTTGATTTCCCAGTGTCCCTGTTTAGAAATAGCTGGACCTCAGATATCTCCCTGCTGGAAGTGTGATCTGGTGAAATGAGAGCTGGTTTATACCTTGTTGATTATTCTGGAATTTCTGTCTTGTTTCAAACACAAGTTCTACCTTAGTTTGACTTTTGCTTTCAAATGCTGGCAAACCCTGTTGCAGCTATATTCACACCCTTGTATTTTAGACTTAAATACAAAGCTTTGCTCTTTTTCATAAATTAAATCTTTCCAAACAAAGACACCTTTTGGTTAGTACAGGCTTGATGCTTTTCTTTCTCTAAAGAAACTTTATCTGTGTCTCTCAGGCTCCATCATCCAGTTTACTGTGCCCCCCCCTTTTTTTTTCCTATTCTCGTTTTCCAGGTTCTAGCTGATGCCCAGTCTTCCTTGTAATGATGCCATCACGTACAAACCTGACTGCTGGGATTCCCAGTAGCAAAGTCAAATATTCCAAGCTCTCCAGCACCGATGATGGATATATTGACCTGCAGGTAAAAAGTGGGGAAGAAAAACTGCCAGAAGAGCCGTTAGAGCCCTGCAGCAGAGCTGCTGCACCAGTTTGTTCCATGTCATCTCTGCTGGCTGTGGGATCTGCATCTCAGCCGTGGTGGGAGGGGAACTGTACTGAGTTAAGCTGTTTAATATTTGTGGGGTTTTTTTCCCATCCAGTTCAAGAAGAGCCCACCAAAAATCCCCTACAAGGCAATTGCACTGGCTATTGTGCTCTTCATGATCGGGACCTTCCTCATCATCATAGGAGCCCTCCTCTTGGCAGGATACATCAGCAAAGGCGTAAGTGGTTTGATTACACTTCTGGTCAGAGTTTTGTGTCGCTTGCCCAGTCCTCAAAGCTTGCCACGATCTGTCATGTTCAGTGTAGAAATTCAGAACAAAAGGCCTGTAAGCAGGAAGGCCAGTGGCATCCTGGGGTGCATTAGAAGGGGTGTGGTTAGTAGGTCAAGAGAGGTTCTCCTTCCCCTCTACTCTGCCCTGGTGAGGCCACATCTGGAATATTGTGTCCAGTTCTGGGCCCCACAGTTCAGGAAGGACAGTTAACTGCTGGAGAGAGTCCAGCACAGAGCCACCAAGATGATGGAGGGAGTGGAGCATCTCCCTGCTGAGGAAAGGCTGAGGGAGCTGGGGCTCTTTAGCTTGGAGAAGAGGAGACTGAGGGGTGACCTCATTAATGTTTATAAATATGTAAAGGGTGAATGTCAGGAGGATGGAGCCAGGCTCTTCTCAGTGATGCCCAATGGTAGGACAAGGGGCAATGGGTGTGAGCTGGAACACAGGAGGTTCTGCTTCAACTTGAGAAGAAACTTCTTTCCAGTGAGGGTGACAGAGCACTGGGACAGGCTGCCCAGGGAGGGTGTGGAGTCTCCTTCTCTGGAGACATTCAAAACCCACCTGGACGCCTTCCTGTGTGATCTCATTGAGGTTCCTGCTCTGGCAGGGGGATTGGACTGGATGATCTTTCGAGGTCCCTTCTAATCCCTGACATGCTGTGATGCTGTGATTCAGGAAAGTAAATCCCCTCCACTGCTGAACTAGATCCCTTCCACTGCCAAGCTGGTGTTTGCCAACAGCCCTGTTTCTTGGGCAGCAGAACCCTCTGATGCGTATTCAGTTAGCAATTCTGGAGCAGGTTCATAGCTGGACTGGAGATCTGCCAGGGAGGGCTGAGTTCCTCTGTCCTTCCTGGGGTACAGTTTCATTTTAATGCTGCATCCTTGCAGAGGGGCAGCTTGCTGTCCTGGAAAAACTTCATGCTGGGATCATCACTCCTCAAGTGAAAATCATTTGATAACTTCTGTAGGAGATACCAGACCACTAGATAGGACTCAGCACCGCTTATCTCGCTGTATTTATGATCCATTGAAAGGGGATCTCCTGTTTGTAGCTGACGTGGTGCTCCTCATGGCACACTCCACCTCGTGCCATATGGAATTGCTTTACGGTTGGCAGCTGCTGGTTATCACTGTGGAAGCAGCAGCGTTGTGGCTGTATCGGAAGCAGTCTGGGCGCAGATAAGAGAGCTCGATCTCAGCCGAGCGTGCAGCGCCCAGCCTGTGGCTGGCAGTTCTGTGATGTGATTAGCGTTAGGAGGAGGCACCCCTGCTATCTGAAGGAGAAGTTCAGTTGAGGGTTTCCTGTAGCAAGGAGGAGATGCCAGACCAGGGAGAGGAATTAGAGCTCAGCCTGAAGAAAAGTGAGATAATTCTGATTTAAATTAACTTTTAGCTTTTGTCAGCCAGCCAGGCCTTAGGGATGAAGAGTGGGACAGTTTGTACCACGGGCAGGACTTAGGATAAAGGAAAGGCTCCCCGATGCAGATCTCTTCTCATCACACTTGCATGTCTCTTCTTTCTTCTCCCCACCGCAGGGAACAGACCGTGCTATCCCCGTGCTCATCATTGGGATCCTTGTGTTTCTCCCAGGCTTCTACCACCTGCGCATCGCGTACTACGCTTCCAAAGGCTACCGGGGCTATTCCTATGATGATATCCCAGATTTTGATGATTGAACAATGTCTTTAATCGCATTATAATTAGGTTGATGGTAAGAGCTGTTAGTTACCCTGGATATGAGAAGGAATCTGTGGGGATTGTAGATGAATATATCAGTCACAACCAGTTCCTGGTTTTGAGGTGTTGCAGGTTTTCCAGTTGGGGGGGTGGGGGCTTGAACAGGGAATTGACCAAAGGGATTGCAACATGAGGTGGGAAGAACATGTGATTTATTGTATTTTTCCTCTTTTGGTTATGTAATGCTGGTTGCTTGTAAGAAGTTCTTCTTGGGCAAGGCAGTTCTAGCAATTTTCCAATAATAGATGAGCTGGTGCCAGCAGCAAAGGTATTTCTTTTTTTGTAACTTGAGTTTATTTTAGTTTTCAGTGAGATTGTGGTCGGCCTTGGGTTTACCTTTGCAGACAAACACCATAGTTAAATTCTCCTTTTGCTCTCTGTCCATCAGAAATGCTTCCAATCTACATGTCCAGGGCTTGTCTGGAGTAACGAAAATCAGATGTGTACAAGAGGGGGAAAACTGCACTTGCATTAAATAATTTACATGTAGTGCATTTGCTACACAACTCCTCTTGTCAGCCTGACCAAGCTTATTTACTCAGCAAACACATTCTTCAAGCAATCTGTTTCCCACGCCATTGTTACTTTTGGCAAAATCTGCTTATCCTTTAAAAGGACTCTTGTTGGATTTTGCTTCTTATTTTAAACAAACCAAATGGATAGAGGGAGAAGAATTGGAATCTGGACCAGGACTCAAGTGTCTAAATACCAAAAGTCTTAGTTTTGAGTAGTGTGGTTATTGGAGACACTTGAATTCCAGCTGTCTGTCTGTATGTATATTTGGAATAATTTTGTCCTTGTGCAAAACTCCCTAGAACCAGTAAAAAGAAAATCTCTGTATAGTTTGTACTGAATAAATCCCTCTTCCATTGTTTTGCTAGCTTCAGTGATATGTTAGTCAGGGAAGATGGATTGGTAACTCTATTTTATGTAAAGTAAAAAAAATGTCTGTATCGTGAAGTGGGAATGAACTCTGTGTCCTGGAGAACAAGTATGTGACGAGTAGTGATGCAAGCAGATGTATTTAACATGAATAAACATCAGTATATTCTGTGTACAAATCTTCAGCTTGTCTTTTTCACATTCACAGATCTTGGTGTGCACTAAAAACTGTTCTGGGCAACCAGATTAAGGCTTTAGCTGCATCTGCTGTTGCCTACTGCGTCCAATTGCTAATGTAGTCCCTGCAATCAGCATTAGGCTTTGCTGAGCCAGCAGCTTTGGAAGGCTCCATCTGCTCTCCAGGACCCTTGGCTGCCTTTGGGGCAGAGCTGGGATTACCCTCCCCAGTGCAGCAATGCAGAGTGCCCAGGGTGCAGCAGGAAAATGTGCTTCCTCACAAGGTCAGGACTGACTTTCTGAACGTCACGTGCAACCCTCATTAAATGTGCAGAGATCCCAGACTTCTAATTGCTTTGTTTCAGGGTCCAAATATCCAGTTCCTTTTGTTGTGCAATGTAATGGGAGCAGTGTCTGTCTGAATATGGCTTGTGGGCTGGTGCTGATGCTCCAGCGTTGTCAGGTGTCCTTGGTGTGGACTGGAAGTTCCTGAAGGGAAGAGGGGCAGGTGTCACTGTTGGTGCAGAGCAGGTCTGTGCAGATGTTGAGATGAGTGCTAGATGAATGCTTTGCTCTGAATGTCCTCTTAAAATGACCTTTTTTCCTCCTCTGATGTTCTAGATTAAACCTGAAGCCTCAGCCAAGATCTTTTTTTAACCTACATCTCCCTTGTCTGATTTAATTGGCTTCTCTGTGCGCCGGTGTTGTACTCTGAGGAATAACTGATTGAATTCAAGATCTCCCTTTCCATCTCTGAAGGCAACAACTATGCATGTTCTCTCCTGCTCTGCTGCGTCACGCTGGCCTCACCCACCTCACGTTCCTGATGCTGCCAGCCCCTGGGCTGATGGCAGCCCTGCTTCCCCAGATATTGTCACATAGTGCTTGGTAGCAGCTGAAATGTGTCCATTAAAGCTGGACCTGGCCAGGAGAGTGGCTGCTGACGCAAACCCATGAATCAGCCTCTATTAGGAGATAAAAATGTGGGTGTTTTTGGGAAAGGGGAGAGGAAGTGGAGGAGAAGTTTAGATGGAAAACGATAAGAAGGGAGGGAGATGCTTTCAAGTGAGGTTGGGAAGCCTGGTTGACTAAGAAGGGTAAGTAAATGTAGGGGACATGAGAAGAACATGCTGACATTTCTGGAGGAAAGGCTATGAATTACTTTTTGTTTGACAGAAGCAAAGTCCTCGGGAAGCACAGTGTATAAATAAGAACAGTCACTGCCCTAACACTTGTGGGGCTGTCTGTATGAGGGATGGCCGCAGGGATATTTTCCTCTCTACTGGGATTGATTTATATCTAACTTGGAAAGGAGGAGACACTTCTGGGAAAGAAAGGTATGGTGACCACTGGAAAAATGTAGATTTTTGAGTTGACATATTGCATTCTAAGCATGGTTTTCCTCCAGAGTATAAGTCTCTAGATGTTTGAATGTCTATTAATTGTCTAGCTGTAATGTAGCTAATAACCAGGGTTCAGTTTTCTCTTGCAAAATAACATGAATTTACATTTATTTCAAGATTGGAAATTTTTTACTGCAAACACTTTGTTTCTCTGAGCCGGTCTGTACCGTAGCAGTGGTGCTGCTCTGATGTCAGTTTGAGTGTAACTGGTGCTGTCAGCTCCTTTATTTGTTAAAACACAGCATCAGGATGAAGCTTTCCTCTCAAACGGGGCTGTTGTTTTGGTGCCTCTGTGCTGATACCTCACAACAGGATCTTTTCCATTTTCCTCCCACCCCTGCTTCGCTGTGGACCTGCATGTGTGATTTGCACGGCTGGGTTGGCTCCTTTGCTGCCTTCCCTGGACTCCCCGAGTGCGTAGCTGTATCCTGCCCTTGACCCCGGGTGCCGGCTGCTGCTGCCAAACCCCGCAGTTAATGGTTCTGCTCGTCAGTTCCCCTTCTGTAAAATCATGGGTGGTGTTGACTGACTCACTACAGTGATGAGGATGAGAGGAAAACTCCTGTGAAGAAGTTTCTGGTTCTAGAGCAGGACCTGAATGACAAATAAGGCACTGGCTGAACGCTGATGAATGAGGATAATACTGAATAGCCATTCCCTTATTGAGCATCATCCATTCTGGGCGCTCAGCGAGGCAGCTGTCTTGGAGAAAAAAAATAGTTGGCATTTATATAGCTCGAGGGGGTGTTATTATGCACAGAAGCTCTGGAGAAAGAACAAGCACTCAGATTTTAGGCTTTTCTCTAGTTTCAGTGCTTGAATTCATGTATCCTCAGTGATGTTCTATTGCTGTTATAGGGTTTATTTATATGATTATGTACTTAATTTAATACCATAAAGTTGCTGGAAAGACATTTGGAAATGTGATTCTGGAGTCCTCTGGCCTGAGCTGCCAGCAGTCCCAGAGAAATTCCCCCCAATGTATTTATTTATAAAACTAAATTTTATAAAAAATTTTTTTTAAAAAACTCATTTTAATTTATTTTTTTTTTTTTTTTTACTCTCTGGAGTGAACAAAACTCCCTGAAGTTCCTGAGCATACTTACATCAGAGGAAACTTCCCTTCTGTAGACAAATTGTTTGAAGCATGTAGATGAACAAACAGAGGAGCAAACAAGGCAGCAGTGGAGATGGTTTGGGTAGCTGCAGACATTAACTGATGTCAGAATGGCTCTGTCTCTGCTCCTCATCTGCAGTGGCTCATTGTTAATAACATATTGTGCTCCCCAAAGCAGAATGGGGCCTGTTCCCCTCCTCTCCAGGAAGCTCCTTACTACTGTTGGTTGCCTAAATGCCACCGGCTGAGAGAGATGGCCACTGGCTGAGAGAGACGGCCACCAGTGGCTCCTGGCTCAAAGATGCCAATTATAAATATGTAACTGATTTTCTAACAGTTCCCACAGCCAGTTTCCCTTGAGGAGGCAAGTCAGGCAGCAGACTTATACCAAGTGGTGACATTTGAGTGTAGAGCTAAGGACTCATCCTGCTGCCCACACGCTGGCTGATGGACATCAGTGGGCTTCCAGGAGAAGCTTCACACCCAGAGATGCTGCTAAAAGCAATGCAGTGGTCTCTGACAACTCAGGCACTGGCTAAGGCTGAGGACAGCAAGGGTTTATAGCAAGCATTGCATCCAACACTGCACCTCTAAAGTCAGGGCTAATGCCCCTTTTGGAAGATCCTGTAGAAGAATGGCTGCCTGAAAGGGCTTCATGGCAAATACAGGAGGGATGGAGATAAAGTCGGCAGTGGTAAGAAGCAAAAGGAGAAGCCAGAATTACCCAAAGCATTGTGCAAGCAGTTTTCATAAACCCTTGAAAGAGAGACAGAAATTGTGCTTCTGCAGGTTCCTTGAAGTGATGAAGGGAGCAGTGAGGTGTTTCACCAGCCTGGAGATGGTGTGTGAGCCTTGAATCCAAGTGAAGCCGCATCCCTGAATGGCTTATCGCCCTATCCTGGTCTCTCAGTCCTTTGTTTTTAAGGTTTGTGGAGCCAGCAATGTTGTGATTTCTACAGGCTTGTGATTTTGCATCTGTCCTTACAAAGAACCTTGTAAAAAGACATCATACCCTCTGCAGGGAAGCAGCTGCAGGCCCTGCAGTCTGATCCTGGAACAGGGGATGTTAGTCCTCCAGGCAGCCACTTCCTTGTGCTTTGTATGGTTTTTTGCATCACTGGTGATTCTTCTGTTTTTCTCCATGTGCTTGTGCTGATGGAGGTTCATAGGATGAGGGGAAGAGCAAGGCCTGTCACTGGTCCTGTGGTGATAGAGCAAGAGGAAACTTGAGTTTCAAACTCCTTGTTTGTCTTTTCTCAGCAGTGATTTGTATTTCCTCTTACTCTTTGGATAACCTCATCCTCAAGGCTTGGCTGGATGTTGGACTGTTTGTCTGCAGAGCAGGGTGGTTGTAAGGAGGCTGGGCTGACCATACTGATCTTAGTCCTGAAAATATTTTAGCAGAAGAAAATATTTTAGTAGAAGTTCTGTGAAACATCTGTGGAGATGAGGGAGAGAGAATGTGA